AGGGAATCTGATTTCGAGTCAGACGCCTTAACCACTCGGCCACGACTGCTTGTGTGCGCTGCATGTTTAAATCGTGGTATATGCTTCGAGTTCACATTTTCATTTTTAGTTGAGAGTTGATTTTCTTCTTGTTTATATGTGAATAAACTAATGTATGGAAGAAATTCTGTTTGTAAAATCAGGTTTTTCACATTAATTTATTCATTTTTAAAAATAGCTTTACAGTGTACTCTATTTAATAAGATGCAAATTCAAAGGCGTATTAAATTGATTATATTTTAGTCACGATTTGTAATGCTTTGGTAAAATATGCCAACAATTTAATTTTGTTTTTTTTAATTATAGCAAAATGTTTAAAAGCTTAAAGAAGCTCAAGATATTCATTCAATTTAATCACTAGGTAACTGCCTACAATCAGGATATTAAATATGTCGTTTAACTGTAGACCTTATGTAACTGTAATAGTAGTAGATTCTATGCATATTGCTCAGACAGCGTCTAATTTTAATTCTAATAGAAGGTTATCTGTCACTCGCAGCGACAAATTCTCATTATTTACACTTAGCGCTCAGCTTTTACAGTTTATTGCACTTTTTTCCCCATATTTATTATTGTTGTTGCTGCAGTAAATTGACTGATCTTTCAACAGCGCGTCTGTTGATGCTGCTCCACTGACTGAGTGACTTGTTGCATTATGAATACTGAATGGATTCATTGATGAGGTTTTGAGATGATGATGATGATTATGATGATGACCTTATTGCTGGCTTATTGTTGTCTGCTCTAGTTGACTGAAATATTACGTAAGATTCCTCTAGTAACGCTGAATGAATACTTGAGAAATTTAATTAACGCTCGCACATGTGTGAAAATTATATATAGGGTGTTCGTTTTTTTGGGGTTAATTGAACGCCTTAAACTTTGAGTGTATGTGAGAGTGTGATAATTAATAAATTGAATGCATAATTGGATTCTTCAGTATGCTGAGCACTTCAAAATCAATTGCATATGCTTGTAATAGCAATGGTTACTTTAACAGTGTTATGCTCTTAACATTTACTCTGTGCTGTTAATATTTTGCAAAGCTTGATCCTAAATATTTGTGTATGGCATGCAAATGTTAAAGCATTTGCATATATTAACATCATAGTTGAAATT